GTAATCTGACTTGAAATAAATTATCGCTTTCATGAATATATATAAATCAGTCACAGAGAAAGTATAGAGAAGGGTTTAAGTGAAATATTTACAAAATCTCGAACAAAATTAACATAGATACAAAGTTCCTTTATGATATTTGCATAAAATCAACTTCTTTTGTATGCACAACTAACTTGTACAGTATTTTTCAGAGAAGAAAAACTCTCAGAGAATATTCAGTTATTGACAGTAAAATCTGCTGACCAATTCTCAGGCAGTAGAGTAGATCAATAATGAATAAAGTGTATAGAGAAGAGAAGGAAATATTACTGAATTGTTCAAGAGTACTAAATTATCGCCTAGATTTTTAAGATTCATGCATCCATGCCGTAGGGAGACAGACAAGCCACATGACATTCCTAATCAGTTGATAAAACTCAACTATGTGATTTATTGATAGTCTAAATTCAGATATGTGTGTAAGGGTGTAAAATAACAAAGAAATTTTCCTAAGTCTTATCTCCTAAAAATTACTTCTAAGACTGATGTTTGAGTGGAATACACTCGAATGCTGGTGTCTAGACATTCCCAGTAACGTCTTCTGGTTTTTTAAAGAGCGAAAAAAACCGGTTCGTCCATAGGGTTCTATATTTTTCAGCATTCTGGAAAATCCTACTACTATATGTATATAACAAAGTAGTATTTATCAGACTGATAACAGTTAGAAAACCATTGAGAACATGGCATCACTGGACAGTTATTTTGTCCTACTATGGAACTCCTCAGCAATATACATGCGTGGACTCATCAGGTATCTAACTAAGGACTTTCAAGTCTCGCAGTGAAAGCACTAACTATTGAGCCACTGGGTCGGATTCGAATGGTCCACAGCCTCCTACTTCTGTAGTTTCACAGTATAAGGCGACTATCCACCACCGTATTCACTTGGCATCCGCTTCACTTCCGACTGCTCCAACCCACAGATCACAGCTTTTCATCGAGACTTCGGAATATACACCTCCAAGCATGTCACTAATAAGCAATATGCAGCACTTCAATTTGAAGTTGATGAGGATTTCATTTATTTCAACATGGTATTCATTACTGACTGATATCAGTTGGAGAATCACTGGAAACTTCCTCTTATGGAACTCCTCAGCAGGATGTACCCATCCTTATAGTGGGGTCTACCCCAGGATCTAGAATGTTACCTTTGAGCCATTAAATTCCAATCCAACAGCTCACATTTTCTAAGTCTATCGATTCATGATGTAAGTTTCCAATGGTTTCCCAACGAAATTTAGTCCACGATGAATCATTATCATTATTATTTGTCCCTTGGGTTCCCAGTGGAACATAGGGCTTCAGAAGTACGTCTCCATTGCACTCTCTTCCCTCCAGTCTCTTAAAAATGGCTCAATAACTGCCCACAACCCTTCATCTCTTCCTCACATGATCTCCTCCATATCACCCTCGGACGTCCAACTCGTCGTCTCCCCCTTTGGATTACACTCCACTCCACCACCCGGCCTGGCCTGGCCTGGTGCCTGACGTCCTCAATCAGCCTTCTCAGTGTTCGCTCAATCCATCTTCACTTTCTTCTGCATAGTTGTTGAGGGATAGGTTCTTGGTTAGTTCGTTGACAGCCAGCCAGATTTCCTTGTTGCTTATTCTTATCATTCTGGCCATCTAATCTTCAGTATCGAGTGAGCGAACGTAAGCCGCAGCTGTTAATGAATGTCTGTGGTTTGTTGCAAATCCCTTTCGTAACGTGCCAATTTTCAGAACTATATAGCAGCACTGACTTGACTGATATTAGTGTTGAGGATCTGGATTATGTTCTTTGTGCTGAGTGCGGTATGTCTCCACACTGATTTCAGATTAATGAAGGTCTATCTTGCTTTTCCAATCCCGGTTTTGATATCCTTGTCTGTACCACCTGCAGTTGAAACCATGCGGTCTAGGTAGGTGAAAGAGACCACTTCCTTTAGGTTTCTCCCATTAGTGGTGATAGATGCTTGTTGTTGATGTTATTGGTTGGGTATCTTCATCACATCTGTCTTCTCCACATTCACTTGAAGTCCCGTCTTCTCTGCCCTACTTCTTCTGTCAACTTGTTAGTTTTCGCCTGTTGATCTTCGAGTTTGCGTGACATGAAACACAAATCATCGGCGAAATCCAAATCCTCTAGAATCCTTCCATCCGTCCAGCGTATGCCCATCTTCTCACACCTCCTCACTGTTTGCTGCATGATCCAGTCCAGTCGACCATAATCAGGAACAACATGGGTGATGGTAGGCAGCAAACTTGTCTTAATCCTCTCTTTACTTCATAGGCATCACTGAGCTTTCCATTGTGGATCACTTGGCATGTGGCCTTTTCATATAGCTGTTCAATGAGGTTGATGAGGATTAGTGTGACTCCGTAATGTTGAAGCAACTGCCAAATTGCTCCCTGATCGACTCTGTCCAAAGCCTTTTCAAAGTCGATGAAGTTGAGGTAGAGTTGAATTGACTGTCATTCCCAACTCTGTTCTATGATGATGCACAGTGTAGCGTTTCAATTTGGTTCGCACATGATTTGTTCTTCCCAAAGTCAGCCAGCCAGCCAGTCAGCCAGCCAGCCAGCCTGTTCCGGTCATAATCCAGTTGAATGCACAGCAATTTTTAGTCTCTCCAGGATGATGCTGCATAATATTTTGCTTGCATTGGGTGAACAGCAGCATGATTCCACACCAGTACTCCCAAACAATTAGGTCTCCTTCCTTTGTGAATTTGACAAGGTAACACTTCTTATTCTTACAAACAATGGGCAGCTACCTTTCCTCCGTTCCGTGCAAACATTCTGCAACAGTGGTGTCAGCATGTCCACTGTTGTCTCTGCTTCTGTTTTCAGTGCTTCTGGTGGAATTCCATCTGGTCCTGCTGCTGTATCGGATTTCAGCAGTTTTGTGGCATTCAGGACTTCAGCTTTTGTCGGAGGGCCTGTGTTCACTGGTAGTTCTGTTGCTGGGCTGCTGGTGGTATTTCCGAGTGAGTTGCAGGTGGTGGTCGATTCAAGAGTTTCTTGAAGTGTTCAGCCCATCGTTTCCTTTGTTTCTCCTCTTTGCTGACTAGCTTTCCCTCACTACCTCCCATTAGTTCAATCTGATATGATATCTTCCCAGATAGTAACCTGGTTGTTTGATGCAATGTTATCAGGTCTCTCCTACCAGCCGGCAGCCTGTTCTACTTTACTTGCCAGTGTGTCGTAGAAGTGTCTTCTGTCTTTCCGTGAACACTTCTTCACTTCTTTGTCAAGTGTAGTGTTTTATAGGTTGTGGTCAGTTCATTTTTTCGTTGCTCACCCCTGCACTGCACTGCACTGGTTTATCTTCTGCTTCATCATCTTCCTCTCCCTCCTCTATCAACTTCCATGTGCCCGTCGAGATCCATTCCTTGTCTCGTTTCCTCTTCCTTTTCAACACGGTTATGCAACTTCCTTTCCACATAGCTTTCAAAGAGTTCCAGTGTTCTCCCACACAGGTTTCTTCAACGATGTTGCTCAATGTCTCTCACTTTGTCTTGATGTCTGACTGATGTGAACATGTCCTTTGTAGTTTTATCCTTCAGTTTATGTTCTGGGTGTTCAACTCCAACTGTGATCTGTTATCACCAGCTCCTTTCAAGGCTTCCAACTTGATTTGGAAGGTTCCTAATTTTGCACTAGATACTGAGTGGTGTGAACCTACATCTACTCCCCTTCTTCATCTAATCTCGTATCCAGTAGATGATGTCGATCTGATTTCTAGTGTAGTATGTCCATCTGGTGAAATCCAATCCATGTCGCTTCGTGAATATCCTTGTGTTTGTACACACTGCCTCCAATCACCAAATCGTTGAATGCAGCGAATTCTGCAAATACTTCTCCGTTCTCGTTCATCACCACACCGAGCGCTCCTCGACCCATGATGAGTTCTCTTCCTGTGTTGTCCGCTCCCAGTTTGGCATTCATGTCACTACACCCATTAGAATTTTGTTGTCGCCAACTGGGCTGCAGTCTTGTCTAGTACCGATTGCAGTTGTCTAGAGAATCTCTCCTTCTTCTCTCTACATCTGCATTATTTGTAGGCGCGTAGCATTGAATGATTGTGACTTTCCTTCATTTGGAGTTGAATCTTGCTGTCATGATCCTGCAGGAGGCTGGCTCCCACTGCATGAGAGACTTCGATGCTCACTGGGACATCATGATAGCCACTCTAAATCTCAGTGTGCTGTGCTCGTGGTTGTCGTGTGGGTGACAATATCGGAGTAGATTATTGACTCTCCAGTTAGGAGTTCAGAGAGTCCACTTCCATTCCACCTGCTTTCGCGGATTCCAAGCACTTCACTGCCATATCTTCTCATCTCTTTTGCAATTTGGAAAGCCTTGCTACGTTCATACATTGTGCAGACATTCCATATCCCCATCCTTACTTTCGCTTTCATTGAGAGAAGACACGTAGTTCAATTAGCTTCCTGAATGCTTCCACCAACTGGCGTCATTTCGCCTCTCCGATTCCAGTTAGGAATTATTGTCATTTTATGTTATATATTTTCTTTATGTTTTGAAGTTTCGTTAGAGGTTAGATTGGTTTTACGGGGTAGGGTTGCTAGCCCTGTGCCCAACCTTCCCCCCTTTATCTGGTGTTAGGACCGGCTAGTAACTAGTGAGCCAGTTACCTAGGCGGGCTTCGTGTTTAATTCACATTTGTATCGTACATATAAGGCCATCCAAACCAGTAAAGTGTATAAAGAGACTGACCTAATTCCAAGTAGGAAATAAAAACACTCCTCTATTAGCCTCATTCAGCTAACCAACTACTAACATTTCCTACTCATTTCGTCGACTAAATCCAATCATTTCAAGACTACTATCTTCAATATGAACAGTAATACCTCTTGTTCACACCTAATGTCTTTTTCTTATAAAATGTAACTGAATAATAGTCAAGACAATTGGATGTTGAGCGAGAATGGAACCAGAAATGAATGACTTACCTTTGCTTGATTATCAATATCATTATGTTTTTTCAACAGATCCTCTGATTCAAGATGATTTTTTCCAACACAGTTTTCTTGATACATAACTTCAATATTTTCATAAAGTTCTTCTATCCAACCAATTGATTCGTAAACATTCTCTTCGCATTCAAGTAACTAAAAAGATAGATGAAATATACAAATAAACGCCTTAAGGATAGATTTCAGGATGTTTCAAGCAGGTATGATTAAGATGGGATGCAATTTATAAACTATGCTTGAATATTTGTAGCTAAATAAGGTGAACTCATCGCTTGTATTCTTAGTTTATTAGGTCAGCTGTAGAGTTTAATAAAACTCAAAAAACAACATGACACAGATATGCAACAGTATAGTTTATCAAATGAAACCCAACAACCCCCAGAGATGAATTCAACACAGATGAAGATTGATAGTGGATGATGATTGAACTCAGTTGGCAGAGCATCAGGCTGGAAACCCGGTAGTTGCTGGTTCAAACCCTGCCGCGGTCCAAATTTTCATTTCACCTTCAATCATCACTCAGTATCAGTACCAGTTCTCCCAAACCTCGGCTATCTCAGATAGTCAAAATGATAGATGAAGATGGCAAAACAGTAAGTTTGAAGTCACTTTCGATGACACGCTAAGAATGAAACAGTGAACAACCGTCTTACCTTATAGCTTACAGTATCTGAAGGGTTTTAATTTCATTCTCAAATGCATTTGGTTAAGAGCATAGAGTGTAGAGTAGGTCTGCAACTCAACACTACTTTATTTCATGTATTTCTCCAACAACTGATTATTTATTATGAAAAACATTTCAGAATTCATATGGTTCAATTAAACTGCACACCTGTCAAACACATTTTTTAAACCAATACCGAAATGTCCTCAGCAACCTTATGCACATCCATGCAGTAGGTAATGAGCCACAACTATGGTGTGAGAGTAAATGATACTACTTAGCTTCCTAGACCTCGGTAGATGGAGCGGTGTTCAAACTCGTGGCCTATGACCAATTGATTGAAAGCCAACTCCCTAAATCAGTGAACCACGACTCTACATATTTGCCAATAGTATTACAACGAACAAAATTTCACAGTCATACGCTTGTCTCCTTAATGGTCATACGGGACAATCATGCCTGAACAACAAGGTTAACCACTTGGACATAACAAATATCAAAATTGATACATCAAGCTAAGTTCTTTTAATCAACTTCAAATCACTGAGGATACTTTTTGCCACAGCTAAAATGATTCACAGATCTAAAAAAAACCATTATAACCAATTTTCATCAACCGAAATCAAATGTTTGGTAGACATTTTACTTCATAGCGAAATCCAATGATCCAACAAAACATTTTAAACACTGATAATCCCTTAAAACATTCTTCATTTAGTTGTTTAAACTTAGAGGATCTTTCACCAGATTAATATATCTATCATGAAATTCATTTTATTAAGTACCTGCCGCCTTTTATTTGTCAATAATCCTTGTGAACTGTTGAAGACAGAATATTCTGGTTAAACATGTAAAGTGTATAGAAAGTGACTTAAAAATACAGTCATACTGGCAGAGAAATGTGGATAGCACTTAATTTACCAACAGTTCTCATCAAGTATCACATGGCATTTGTAATCACTGCTTGCATCGACAGAAATGATGAGTGCAAATGGTAGTGATAAATAGGAAAGATGATTCCGAAAAGAGATATTACTTGTAAATTATGGGAAACTAAATATTCAGAAATCTCTTTGCTTACCTATTGAGAAATAAATAAATTCAAAAAGGGAAGAGTACAAAATTCATAAATTATAAGTGTTAAATATTGTAATCGACAGGGAAAGGCTGCTTTTCGAAGAGAAGTTTGTTGTTTTTGATCCCAAAAGAATAAAAACAGAAACAGTATCTTTCTGAAGCTCAACACAGGTCTGGAAACTACTTAAAAATCTATATATTTTCTGAATAAAACTAGTGTACTTTGCAGATAACAGGTAGATCTAATATGAAATTCAATAACGGTATACATGTTACTTATCAGTTAAAAATGCTGACTAACCACAGGTATGCAGTTTCCTGTATGTTAAGTTGATGACGTAATATCTGTCTGATGCATTGCAGATAATTTCAGATATTATGTGCTTATTCTTATTGCCTACTGTACTGAAAAACTGAGAATAAATGATAATGAGTGCCCAAGGTATTTCAGTTGACCAATTTCAAAGTCTAATACCTTGTGGTAGACGTATTTTATTCTCCTCTTGACTGGTCTCGGAATCAATGTAAAGGTTAGCGTTGATAACTTGGACAGTTTATAAAAACTTCTTCTCCCCTAGCAAACACTAAAGATAAACAGATATTACTAACTATCACGATTGTTTACTAGGTAAGAAAGTTATCACTGGTAAGAGTATTCACAAAACTGAAGTACTGCGAATATTTAGTCTCTCCAACCCCATGCAATGAATGTGAGGTCAAACATATAGAACAAAATAGTAAACCAGGGTTAGTCAGACAAACAGAGCATAAAAGCTTATTCAAACCTAGAACAACACATCCAAGCGAGGTAAGAAACCTGAAGATACATGCAATAATGCATAATCGAACAGTAAAATGTGAAAAAGTGATGGTCTTAGACCCTAAATCGCCAGGATGAAGAGAAAGATTGATAATCGAGGCTTTGTTTACAGTATCAACATCAAACACATGTAATGAGAATTACTAAACACTTGTTCCAGATAACCGTAAATTTCTCATACTAAGGGAGTGTAACAGAATTAAGAAAACAGGATTTTAAAGTTGAGGATTTACCTTTCATATGCCTATGAACAATAAATTGTGTTTATGATTCAGTAAATAATACTGTTTCACTGTGTAAAACATTAAACGAACAAAAATAACGTGAAATTATAGACTACCACAGAGTCTAAGTTCTACTGTTACGTTACCAGAGGAGAAACAGATTACCGCTAGTTAAACCTAAAGTTTTTAATTTGGTGGGTTATTTGTCTTAATTTTTAAATCATGAATAGTCCTTTCTTTCAAAGACACACCATTTCACATTGAAAAAGGATAATCGTATTTATACCAAGATAATTTACTCTTGTACTCTTAATGCCAACGCCAACCTGGTATAATCTTATTCCAAACGAACTCACAGGTTTTGTTGGGAGAACATCATTCATTGCACTGATAAAGTCAGGATATTCCCACAAGAAAACTAGTGAAAGTGGGTATTTAGTGCTTAGACCTAATTAATTGACGTAATTGCTGAGCGAATAACAGCACAAAGTTGTTTTTTTTTAAAGAATGATAACACTCTAAACATTCAGATCAACAGATATCTGGTTGTATAAAATATGCATTCCCAGTTAGTATTTATAACAGTTAAGTGTTTAAAAGATATTAAAAACTATTCGACAGGTTCGAAACATAAACAGAAGCATAATACCCAAAATAATCAATAATATGCATTTACAGTTGCACTATATTGTTCATATTGTATAGACTGAGTAACAGTACAAACATTTTACGCATATGCTTACAAACAAGTAACAAGTGATGATAAACTTTCGAAAAAAAAGTATAAACTAAACCAAATACATAAAACTGGCATAAAATGCATTATATTGCATACCAAACATTTAGACAATACAAATATAATAACCTATTCTCACGTTTAACAGGCATTGTAAAGCTTAGTACAATCTAATAATTGCATACACAGCTAAAAAACAGGAGACTTCAATCATTCACTGATTACCGATCACTCACCGAATATCAAGTAAATGAGAGTATATTAAATACAAACCTTCTAAAACAAAGCTGACTACCAACTATAATTGGTAATCTAAGTGTATATTTCTGGATGAAGGTAGATTTTGTAGGAAAGGGAATAGAGTACTGATTTTAAGATACAACACTACCATGGTCACATAGTTTTGACCATAACACTATTATTGCTGCTAATTATTCATATGAATGAGTAACCTTGTCATTGAATTAGTCCTGTAAAGACTGTTTGAGGAGATAATGATGCCGGTTGAGTTTTATGAGGGTCATAAGTTACTCCGAAGTTAGAAATGATCTTTGTTGGGAGATGCTAACAGCTAAAATTTTCATATATTCTTATTGTTGACTAGTTTCAAACACCTAATATCAGGTTACTGTTAACGTTACTAATATAATTGTTTTTATATGATACCGTTCAGCTGACGAGTTCCAAATAGGACGAAATGCGCATCCTGAATCCCACTGCTAACCACGATCCATCATTAACGTTACTAATATTTCTATGATGGACGTAACTACTGAGCTACAGCTATCGCAGACCAGTCATGACTACAACAGAACTTCTTAAATTCTGCTAAAGATGGTGACCAGTCTTCTATTGAAAGCTCTGGTACTAGCAGCCTAAACGCAGAGTGAAATCCAAAGTGAACATTCATTTTCTGGATCACAAGTACATATAGAAGTTACAAAAGTGATCTTAATTTATATGGTAAACGGTTGGTACATCTCCTAACCACCACTGACGTAGTTATACTTCAAATGTTTCAGTAATTGTTTAAATTCTGTTGATCAAGGTGATACTGAAGAAAAAACAGAAAAACTACTGAACAGGTATTTAATTAAGAACAATATCCTTATTATGTCTAAACGTCATAACATGATTATTGAGCCCTTAGCTGAAGTTTCAGTTCCAAAAGCTTTATTTAACTCTACTTTTAAATCCAAAGTGGATTTGAAAACAATGCAACAGTCAAAAACTAACGTTGACTAATTCACAAGGAATCGAGAAATTCAGTTTTTATTGGCATCTTTCTTGACCTTCTAAATTACTTTCTCAAAAAAAGTGACAACCTACATCTCTCATATCATAACTATTATGACCAAAACGGTAGTTTTCCAGAATTTTAAATATCTTGTATTTGGCTGCATTTACTAAACCTCAGATGAACACACTTTTTCTAATTTAAAGTATGAGCAAACCGTTGAAAGGAAAACTGCATTTAACTGACCTTCAAACTATGGGTACACTTATAAAGAATTCAAAAATGGCCATCGAATAAAATTACACACCCATTAAGTAGAGTATTTTGTGAGGAACCCCGCTTTTTGATTTGGCCAAAACTCTTGGAATTTAAGTAGCATCATGTCTTATGACAAACATCTGACTAGCAGTTGTCCTCACCTCGGGTTCGAGAAACTTTAGGTAAAATTCGTTATGCAGGGGATTAGATCATTACTTTGTGCACCAACACTGTCTAAAACAGTGTAAATAGATAATACAGGTGCTCATAACCTCGGGTGATATGGAGATCATGTGAGGAAGAGATGAAGGGTTGTGGGCAGTTATTGAGCCAGTTTTAAAAGACTGGAGGGAAGAGAGTGCAATGGAGACGTACTTCTGAAGCCCTGTGTTCCACTGAGAACCTTAGTGAGGAGCAATAAATAATAATAAATAACCGGTTATTCTAATGACATTCATGGATGACTTCTGAACAATCTTATGATCGAAGGAATATGACGGAATCATTTCTGTGACACAAGTTCCTAACATGCATGCAAAAGATTTCTGAAATAGGATTATTACGGAGTTATGAGTTCCGTTGTGGTCAGATTCATTAAACACTAACTTGGATACTATGTGTTCGACACCACACAATTTATGCTCATAGGCACAAATTTTGACTTGCTTTCTAGATTTTTCACTTATTCATGCCAAACCTCAGTCTATTTCGATTTAATCTGCGTTGATATTAGGTTAAGAATCTAGGGTGAAATACCATTTTAGTTAAATCAAGTTGAAAGATCTTCATATCCCCTTTTATACGGGAGTAGACAGCTTGAAAAAATTCTCCTCAAACTCATGTGATGGGTCCTAATCCAAATTTTGATGAAAACAAACAATACAGAGGACATTTCTTCACCTAGTAAACTGCAAGTTTCTGTCGGAGAGATTTTGTGAAATTACTCTAATTGACTAGATCAAACGCTTATGAATTATCGTACTTTTCCAGTTTTATTATGTTAAGCCACCTTAACTATATAATCTAACCCACCAGCTGTTAAGCAGCTGATAGAAGTAACATGTAGATTATATTGCACGCAAAATGTGCATATCTTTTGTTTGCTTTTTTGACCCAGAAACATGCTTCAGCTTCCCTTTACTAGGCTTGGAGATAAGGCTCAAAAATCAACTAGTTCCATGTTTATTCCATATTATAAGATGAAGTCCCAATTTTTCGGAACTTGTCTTGTTGAATGCACATCACTAGATGTTAAGTTGTGCCGACAATTACGCCTAATTATCTGCATACCTACATTGCCAGCCCCATTGATTCATTAATATCTACTCAGAGTTTATTTTGCAGTTGGCGTTAAATAGTGAAGTGACTTTACCTAGCTAGGTTGCGTTGGGAGATGATCGGTAGAACTGCATTGACATGTACCATTTCCAATAAGAATGCAAACATGATAGATACTTGGAATGCGTGTGGATGCTGACGATTTCACGCAGACGTGAGATTTCTAGAAAGACATAACAGCAAGAAAATTCACATGTCACTAGGCCTTATCGGAAGTTACTGTTATTTGTAAGTTATTAACCCCATTTTGCACACAATAATAAGTTTTTAAAATGTCTGTGATATGATTACAACAGTCACCAAACTATTCAGCAACAAACATTAACAAACCTTGGAATGTTTCTTCAGTATAAGTTTTCGAATTTTAAGGGATTGTGTTGCTTCAGTTGCAGCCCGACAGGCATCCCGAAAGCCATCTTCTAACTGGCCCAGATAGTCAGGATCAGAGGGTTTCAAGATTATTCTGAGCCTTTCCAGTTCATGTGCTAGTCCATTAAGTCGAATCTCACACTTTTCAACTCCTTGCTCCAAATCAGCAATTGCATTTTTGATGGATGAACCGTCATATGTATCAACCTCCTTAGCACGTTTCTGCAACTCTTCTAGTACTGTCCATAACTGAAAAATGAACAGTCATGCTAAAATTTACTCACTTCTTCAACCAGTCTGAAATATGTGTAGCACGATACAACAAAAAAAGTCCTCTTGTTTAGTTTTTCAACAAAGCTCTGCACCATAAAGTCCAACTCACTGAGTTCTAAATTGATGCTGCTTTGCTTTCTATAGTCACAAAGTTCGGCGAAAACTTCGAGAGCTTTCTACACAACATTCAACCTATCAAAAGTTACTAACCATACACTTAAATTCAAATTGTTCATGTGCCTTTCGAATTTGAGATGCCTCATCGAAATTATATGGCTTTGACGTCTGAGAGTCCAGTAACTTTTTCCCAGTGCCATTGATCCACTCACGTACCTCGAAAAATAATCTCAAAAAAACAATAACTACCAGACCAATTTTCTCTCCCATTTCAGAAGACAACCAACTATCTTTGAAATCAGCTCTGATGGGCTGAACTAAGCCTTCTGATGTGTTCATTACGGTTCATCAACAACCTTGAGCTTCTCCGATATCAACAGTCTAATCAGGAAACTTCTAAACCATAGTATGTTTACAGTTTCACAGTTTGTCTCAACCATGACCTTGAAAAGTGAGGTGTTAAAACACTGTTTGATCAATTCAAATAGTTGGCTTCACATAATTCATTCACGCAATAATGTTTCTGAATTTGTCAAAAGAGGTTACATTCGTGCTTAAGTTTTAACACCAACGTCAAAAGTGCGTGGGAAACTGACAGTTTTTGATCGTTCGGGTCTAGCCTTTGGGGCTTGGTTCATACTGTTCAGTTTTCTCCTGTGGTGAACAAGGAAATCCCTTCCACTTTCCTGCCTTTAGCCCAAGTGAGATGGATATTTCTGTGGGTTGGCAGGTGAAATTTGTAGACTGAGATGGTTGGGGAGATCCAGGTTACTGGGAAGAATAAGGGGCTTTCGTGACTTCTAGGTCCCCGTAAAAGAATGGCAAGATAGAGGGTAAAGTTACACGGGAATTACTTGAAGGCTGAAACCAGATAGTACGTGTCTGACTATTAGTGGGGGGTTGTTAGATAACGTACCGGCACCAACAAGAAAGATGGTGAGTGGTAAGTATGAAGGAAGTAGTGGCAGGTTGGTGAGGTCAGTAACGCGCCGAGTAAGTCTGCGGTAAGCTGAACGATCCAACGCAACTGTATAACGTCCTTTAAATGAGTCCAATATGGCGAGCTGTGGTTACATCCCATCCATCCCACTCCATTAAGGGCATACTTTCAAGGAGAAAAGGTTCGACAGGGCCTGGAGCTGGCTCTTTGATAAACCATCCGGATGCATTTTTGGGAATTGCCTTGGTGCGACCTTGACGGACGCAGAGGTTGGTCATTAGTTATTTGTACACGTTACATACTCACGAATACGAGGCCAAGGAAGAACACAATAGCGTAGTCGGATGGAATAGTATATTTGTGAGGTCATTCCAAGTTATTGATGCGTTCCAACTAACTGGTCAGAAGGTCGAGTACGAGCAGTGCAGCGTAACACGACAGTGTGCCAAATGGCGAGGAAGCTTAACCGGGTGCTTTCAGCTTGTCGAGTCCAGTTAAACTATCAAGGCCAGCATTAATGTTGAATGTCGTCGAACCCTAGGATACTGATTCTGGAGAAGTGTGTGACGCCACAGATCACCCCCCACCTGATGGGTTCATGGAGACCCTGAAGCAACAACACTTGTAGGGCCCTTTAAATAGGCTCACTGTGAGAAGTTTCTACTGGTCGTCTAAACTTATCCTTGGGTGTTGTGGGGAATGAAAAATAAAATACAATATATCGAATCTCACGTCGATCGCGGTCCTCAGCGACGTTTGATGTTCGGTTCAGTACTCCCTGCACCTGGAATATAAATAAGTCATTAATACCACGAAAACGCTTCGTAAAAATGGGAAACATTTCAGCGATAATAATATTACCTAGCCCTGAATATACAGGCACTTATTATACTTCATTGATGATCCCAGAACTGTATAATTCATGCGTGTTAATACCATTCTACATCAGGGATTCCCGACTGACAGCCAAGTATCCTGTCTTATCCAACTCCGGAATCCAGAAGAAACAGACTTGTTTGAATGCCTCAGGTAGACTGTCAGGGCGTTTGGTCTGCCGTTTACACTGGCTGCGATAGCCTTGCGGTTCGGATCGTTCGTAACTTGCGTTACATTCTTGCAGCTATTCTCAGTTTATTGCTACGTTGTTTTTCACTGTTGTTTTACACTCTTGTTCACCAATAGTGTTCACATAGCACGGAATTTTACACCCCGGTGCTTTTGAATCGTCCTTGTGGCCTGAGCAGGCTGTTACGCAGGCATCCATAACCGGTCACTGACATGAATCTTCCCCGTGCTACTTGCCATATCCAACTGATCACGGCTCTCTGGCCTCCTCCCGACGGAACAATTTATGGCCACACTTAATGTTAATGCCACCACGATATACCTACTTTCCCTTGTGTGTACTATACCTTGAGTCAAAGCATACAACTTCTGGAATTTGTAGGTAGGTAGCTACTCGTTCGGCGCTGCTTAAGCATACTCGATCCACCCGCTGATGATCACCATCACTCCTCAGTTTATAAAATAATTATTCTTTGAGATTCAAAGCCTGCAGAATAAAAGTTATTCAGGAAGAAGATTGCTTTGTGTAATTTTCCTCCGGATATTCTTCAGGTAGTCATAAGTTACGTCTTTTGACATAACGTCTTTCACATACTGCAAAACGCGGTCTGGTTGGGACCCCACTATCAGCACTGATTTGACAACCTTCAGTTGATGCTCCGTTAGGCGCCTTCACCGAGGGTCTTTCACTTGATAATTCACTTCGCATGGATGGTTGTGGACCATCTTCACACTTGAAAAAGTGAAACGACTCAACTCAAAAAGTAGTCGAATTCTAGAATGACAACCAATATACTTCGATCTAAAACGCCACTTCTAAAAATCCTTAAACTACTCCTTAATTGGCTGTTTGGTACCTCTTGGCTTTCTCCTGTCACCGAAAGTGCGTACTGACACAACATAGTGGTACTTTAAATTCCCATCTCCCTTAGAACGGTTGCATTCTTTGATGACGTAGTGCGTATTCGTCATCTAAACATCGGGCTAAGTTACTTTCTAACATACTTTCTGAAAGGTATTTATCACTTCTTCGACCTGACTTCAGACAGCAGAATGTCTAGGTCATATGACCTTCTCAAAAACCGCAGAAATGTCGACACATGTTGAACTAGCCAGGCTACAACTGCTCGTAGGGGCTTGCTGAGACTCCATAAGGCTACGAATAGGAATAGGCATTCTTTTTAGCGGACTTTCAGCTGAAGGATAATAAACATCAATGGAACGTGTTAACCCTTGCACCAACTTGATAAACAATTAGATAAAGGCTGTAAGTATTGAAAGGATTCGGAGATCAGGGGCGGCATAGGGCAGCATCACGGCTTTTTCAACGGTTAATCAGCTTCTAACACAACAAGAACAACAGAACGCGGATAAATTTACATCAACCTATTAACATAACATGAAGAAATAGAACTAAACAAACAAATATGCAAAAAACGCTTCTTGTAACCGGCCTGCGTCACCAAACATAGCAAACAATAAGAGCAGTTAACGAAACAGGCAACCAACGAGGGTATTATGATGAACGGGGCATAATTGATTAAAATTCAGGACATAAGAACGTCAACTACGTCTGCAACTTTTACAAATCAACGAAAAACTCGTTAGCACGAAACCAATCGTCCAGCGTGGCCTACTAGGATGGCAAAAAGTGGCCTTACAATGGTCACAAGACAGCATTCTGATTGATTTCCAGGTTGTAAGGTTCTTGTTCAATTTAGCCTGTAGGACAACAGCAGTGCCTAGCAGTTGGTAAGTGTTGGACTTGCTGGTCGCCTTTATGATAAGTAAATCTTAGGTTTTGATAATTATGAAGTTGTAGTCCAGTGAACATTTCTATTTCTGCTTGTTGTAGTTAGGCATTTTGAACGCAGTAAAAGTGGTTACCCTCTATGGAGGGTAGTCTTAGCTATGGTCCGTTCCCTAAGTAATTAATTTGCGACGACAAAAAAGCCAACGTTAAGAAATGAATTACTTTTCTACTGCGAGAAAAAACAGACAAAGCGGCAGGCGGAGAAAGCAAGAATTCTAACGAGGAGAGTGTTTTCTATGTTCTTGTTTCTCCCTACTTAACTTTCCTTGTTATGGCCATCATTGTATGTGCCTTTTCTACAGAGTACTTAAAAATATAAATTCCATGCCATCATGTGGTGTAGATCTTCTACTTTTGGTAACTGTGTCGAGTGGGGCAGAATGTGCTGTTAGTTTGAGGTAATGACTTATGGAAGTCCCCTCAAGGCTTCGTTTGAAGGGCCACTGTAGGTGTGGTGGACGTCTAATTATACATTAGGAGAGCCGAGTGCATGAAATGTAGTGAAGGAAACTGTTGATGTATCCGATAAGCCAGAAAAGTCACTAGATGATGAGAAGCTAACTGGTAACCGACCAAATTCAAAGGTTGATTTGGAGGCCCTCACTTCAGCTGGAAGTCTGTTCCACAAGTGAGAGAATTTGACGGCAAAGACGTTTACGCGCAAGCAGGACTTGAGTGGTTTCATTTTGACGATATGGGCGTGGTTGCGCAGATCGTAACAGCTGTTGTGTTCGAACTGAAACTCACCACTGGCTGTAAAAGCGTGTTTTTGTAACACAATAAAGAAGAGCGTCAGGCTAATTTTGAGTCGTCTCATCCAAAGTGTTCCTAGCCTTAGTGTTCTGCATCCGGAGCTGTAGTCTTGCTTGCAAGCGTATCCTAGTAATGTAACTGCAAAATACCCTTGGGCGCCCTCCGTTTTTAGTTCTTCTATTATGCGGACACCACTCAGTATAAATGGACAGTATTCTAATAGTGGACGAACGCGAGTTTTATAGAGCAGTAACATGACCTCTTTTAGGTGAAAGTTACGAACCATGCAACCCATCAGGATCCTAGGTTTACTAATCTGGGAAGCAACCTGTTCAGAAAATGCTAGGTCCCTTGAATATCTTAGTCCAAGGTCACATACACCTAAGAACAGGTAGTTACGTAGACAGAAGGTGTAGTTGGATATCCACCGATGGAGCACCAAGACATATCCAGCCACGTTTGCCTGTACTGAACTGAAGTTTCCAAGCCGCAGGCCATGCGGATAGTATATCGAGCTCCCTTTGCATTAGTGCTCGGGATTGGGATAAGTCACCATGGCTGAATGTGTATGCAACTTTTGGGTCATCAGCAAACAAGAGTGGTTTACCGTATGTAAGGCAGCTTTAGATGTCATCGACGCACAAAGCAAAGGGAAGAGGGCTTAATACGCTACCATGAACTACACCACAGGCGGTTGGCCTAAGTTTTGAAGTGTGTGAATCTACATTCACCGCTTGAGTGTGATTACTGAGGAAAGACTTGATCCACCCCAATAGTAGATAGTTGATTCCCACAGACATCAACTTACTTATTAACAGCAAGCGATCGACTCTGTCGAATGCCTTTGAAATGTCTAGATGGAGTACAAGGACTAATTGATGT